TGGCGTGAGAATCAAGTGAATGCCCTTCAATACAGGAATCGTTGAGTCCACACAGGACAGTCACACCATCTGTTGTGCTGCATTTAAGGGGACAGAGTTACACCAACCTGAAGGTAACACCGAGAAGGTGCAGAAAAGTATACGATTCCAATGTTATGAAAACGAACGCTGGGAACGACATATGACTATGTCTGTGTTCTATGTCTGTATACAATCACATGAACACAGTGAGAACACAGGCCATCCACGAGTTCACTGGTTTTGAGGTGGAGTCGGGAGGGATATGGGGTGGGAGCAATAGCTACCCTCATATGCTGTAACACAGATATGAAATTATATTTTTGTTTCGCATTTGTATGCAAAAATTTTAAATCTGACGTTTAAAAGTTTCAACAGGATTATTCCTGTTGGATAATCAAACAGGAATAAAAAGCAAAGTTCCCTTCTTCCTTTGGTGTCCACAATTGCTTCAGGCACCTCCCCGCCAGAGAGACGCAACTTGGACCAGCACCTGCTCCTCAGGACCTGGTCTCCATAGTGACCTGGTGTCCGAGTGCCGTGCGCCCTTTCTGTGCCTGGCGTCCTGGGACAGCTTGTCTTCAGATGCCGGCCCCCTGCTCCGGGAGCCCCTGCAATATTCTAGTTGTGCTCTCGTTTGGGGGAGTGAGCCTCCCCTCCCCTCCCCGACGGTGGACGGGGTATTTGAATGAGGGGGAGCGCTTCTTGATGAAATCCAGCTCTTTGCCTGTTCCACGCTGAACCCTGCAGCTGAATGTGGCTGGAGAAAAACACCACCAGGCTGCCTGGTCTCACTTTAAATTCCTGATCACCAACCTCAAATGGGCCCGTTTGTTGCCTGGCAAACACCCCGCACCTCCCTGGTCTGTTCACTTTCCCTTTATCCTAAATGACCGTTTTCTACCCCTCCCTTCTCTCCAAATTTCCGTCCCCTCCTGCCCCGTCCTTACTCTCTGCTGATCTCCCTGGGAAAACAGAAGAAAGCAAATGAGAACCTCCAGTAGTTTCGACCTCATCTGCCCACGTCCCCGGCCAGCCAGGCTCCCTTCTCCCCGTTATTATCGCCCCTTGTCTCTAGAAGCACCAGCCATCTCTCTCCACTTATGGCCGGATTACTCCAGAGGAGTTGTCAATATTCATTTTCTCCAAAATCTCTCTTCATCTTTTTCTTGAATCTATGTATCCAGCCTTCACCCTCCCCACGCCACTGAAACCACTCTTAGGAAGGTCTCTAGTGACCTCAATGCTGTAAATCCAGGGTTAACTGTTGGTCCTCATCCTACTTAATCAGCAGCCTTTGATAGTTCATCTCCCTCCTCTGTGGACCTTTGTGGACCCCACGCCCTCCTGCTTTCACACCCGACTCTGGAAGGCGCTTTGCTGCTGTCTCCTTTGCTGCTCCCCTCCACCTGCCTAAACTCTTAAACTTCAGGGACCCCCCCAGGACTCAGATCTTGGACCTTTTTTCTTTGCTGCCCGCCCCACACTGCCCCACTCCTTTGAGGATTTCATATTTCATCCAGGCTCCACTTGTCACTTGCATGATGACTCCCAATCTTATGCCTTTGGCCTGGACTCATCCCTGGAACTCCAGCGCCCGGCTGCCTGCTTGACCTGTCCAGTAATATCAAGCAGGCACCTTGAACTTAACCAGTCCTGCTCCTGCTGACGTCTCCTCCTCAGAAACGACAACTTCCATCCTGCCAGGCCTGGACCAGTAACCTCAGAGTGGTGAGGTGAGCGCAGCCAACACGAAGCCCGGGCCTGGCTGACGGGAAGAGCTGCCGACTCTGGGAAGTTAAGCAAGGCCCAAGGTGCAGGCCTGGCCTGGGAACGCGCTTGCCCGGAGCGAGGGAAAGGCTGCGTGTGACTGCACGTGTTGTAATACGTTTGGCATTTGTCATTGGCGATGGTTCTACAATCTATGGGACAGCAAGAAACCAGAAGGAAACAACATGTTTGGAAGTCAACAGAGCATTTTATTCCACAGGAAGAAAAATAACGACTCTGATATGAGAAACAGATCCAAGAGTCTCAACAGATTGGTGAGTGTAAGAGTGTTCACACGGTGGAGACCCAGATACTTTATTTTCAGAATATTATCGAGCAGCTACTATGGTATTTTGAGGCACAGATGATGCTTAAAAACAAAGTGGCCCAGGAGCCTTCCAAACCCCGAGGTGCGTCTTCACCACAGTGAGGCACTCGGGCCGCGAAGAGGCCATGTTTCTGTTTCCCAGTCAGTGGTGAGCAGGCCCAGGTGTGGGAAACACAGAACAGCCAGCCTTTCTGGTGGGTGAGGAAAGCAGCTGTGGCCAGGCGGTGATGCGGCCAGCTGTGCTGGGTCAGGGCATCAAGGGGGCTTTGCTTTCTGCTGGCCCAATTTCTCCTAATTCAATTTATTTTACTCTCCTTGGAGAGGAACTGCGTACTTGAGGCACCAAGAAAATCAGCAGAAATTATCCTAACAAAGTCTCAGACATCGCTGGCTAAATTACCAATTTAAAAGCCAGAGCCAGGGCCTGCTTCCTCCAAAGCTCTGGAATTTTTTTCCTGGCAAACCACGAAACTATGTCCAAAGCCCCTGAAACCTTACCATCACCAGGCCTGGCACGAGGGCTGCGAGGGCGGAGGGAGCCTGAGAAGCTCTTAGCTGGCACCCACCCCCCACCCCCGCCCCATTTGGTCTTTGGATCCCATTTTAACATCTGCCTCTTCCAAGGCGCAAACATCAGGGGGGAGTTGTGCAGTAGGGAGATGAGCAACTATTGTATTTCGAGGGCTGATGAAATTTAGAAAGGAGCCAGGAGGAGGGCATCTCAACACCCCTCTGGAGTCTCCTGGAAGCACCATTCCACAGCGCAGCCCTCAACTAACTTCCCGTGGGCAGAGCTGCAGAGAACACTGGGCCCAAAGTCAGGCTTCCTTAGTCATACCAAGCTCCTCAATCCAACAGAACTCCCAAGTGACTTCATTCCAGAAAGTGACAGAAGGCTCACTGACACAAACCATCAACCCTCTCTCTGAGAGTCTCATCGTTAAGAGGTCATGATCTCAGGCAGTGCGTTACTGATGACAAAAACCACAAGCCCATCTTGTGGGGTGCAGGGCGGGAGGCTGGTGAGGAAGACAAGAAGCCTGCAGGGAGCCGCACCTGGCACATGGCTGTGGCCCAGCAGAACCAACCAACCGACGGACCAAAAACCCACCCCGAACCCTTCAAAAGCTGGGCTTCAATTCTGCAGTCCATGAACCCAGAGTTCAGTGAACACTATATACAAATCCTGGAGTTCAAGACGAGCCCTGAAAACACTATTTTGCCAAAGCACTAAGCACTTGGGTTAAAGTTCTTTGAAAACACACACACACACGGAGACACACACACACACACACACACACACACAGAGACACACACACACACACACACACACACACACACACACGAGTGGGGAGAGAAAGACAGATTAGCCTCATTTGTGTTTGTGTTTTGGAAGGATCTGGGTCATGAGTCATAAACACCAAAACCTTCCACGCAAACACTGATCGGATGGGTCCTTTTAGATCTCGGCTACATGTGACATGGTTGTAGAGACTGACTAGATTTATTAAAATAAAAATTAAAAAATCACAAGGCTAGTCATTCATTCTAGGCCTCCCCTCTCCCTACCTTGGTTATTCCTTACAGGAAAGAGAAACCACAGAAACAAGACCCAGGAAGGAGAAGACACTCGGTCTAGGCCTTGCCACCGGTTGGAATCTAAAACCAAGGGCCAGGAGATACTTTGGCCAAATCTTGGCCCCAAACTTTCAAGAACAGCTCTTGAGCACTCAGATTTCATTCTCTTCTCTAAGACTCTCTCCTCCTCCCTTCTCACCCCAGGGCTGCCGTTGCCACGTCCCCAGGGCTGCGGGGCTGGGTGGCTGCCTGGAGCTTTATTAAGGAGAACAGAGTCCCAGGACCTCCTGCTGCAGCTGCTCAGGAGAGGGAACACTCTCGCTGTGGGTTTCTGATAAATTTGTGGATTTCTGATCTGTTAAACAGTGCTACGGGATTTTTTTCCCTTCTAAGTTATCAGAGCCTACCAATGTTTCAAACTGGCCTCTCTGATAATAACCCAAGGAAACCTTATAATGCTGGCGCGCGCGCGCGCGTGTGTGTGTGTGTGTGTGTGTGGGGGTAACAGAACACACCTCAAAGTTTTACCTCAAAGTCTGGCAAGACTAGTCAGGATAGAGCCAGTGAGACAGGCAGATAAAAAATAATTTGTGACACTCTAAGAACTGTCTTTAAACTGGGGGAGAAATAAATAAAAGATGTGTCCGAGTCACTCCCCTAGGCCTCATCAAGGGCTGGCTCTGGGTCTAGACACGTCGGGTTCGCGGCTCCAGCCCAGGATGAGCACAGGTTTCAAAGGCGTCGCTCCTGACGCACCTGCCCCCTCACCTCAGCCCACATAACCGTGAATATTCCAGTTTCCCAAACTAAGGCATAACGTTCTGCCGCTTCCAAGAATCCCTCTTCACGGACAGTACCCTGAACGAGACGTATAGAGTTAGTGCAATAGAAGGTCCAATATAATTTTATATTACTTTACAGTTAACAAACCGTTACACACATCACAGGCCCTGTTCAGAAATGCTCCTACGTATTTACAAACACACAGTTGTACATATATACATGTTAACAAAATACAGGGCAATCTAAAAATTAGATTGATCTCAGTTATACTTTCTTTGTTTTAAACGTTATTCAACCAATGCCTCTTAAAACTTACCTCCCCATAATCTAAAGTAGCCCCCTGCCCCACAAATTAATATGGTTCCATTTGTAACCCCCCTCACCAGTATCTACTCTCCCTCTTGATAGCATCCCCCAAACCTTATTCTGGTTTCCTCTGATTTAAGCCAAGCCCACGGGCCTCTCTCCTCCTGATTGGTTTGGGGTCTACGTCTGGGAGTGTCCCTCCAGCAGCTGGGGTTTCTCAGGAGTCCAGCTCCAACTGCTCTTGGTTTTCATTGAGTCTTAACATAAGTTGCTGTTCATAGTAAAGGCTCTTTGCATAGTTTATTTCTTGTGATAACTTGATAGCAAGGACCTCTGATTTCACGTGGACCTGAAGAAAAGGACAGAATGAGTAACCTGCCCCCAAGGTGGGAAGCCAAACAGAATCACAGGACACGGGCCATTGAAATCCACCCAGGCAGCAGCTCCCAGCCTGACTGTGGATCAGAACAGCATGGGTCGCAGTTTAAAGAAACAGATTCCCAGGGCCCTACTCCTAGTTATGCCGATTCGAGGTCTGGGGTGGATCTCTGGAATCTGTATCTTTAACTCATTCCCCAGGTGGCTGTGCAGTCGACCCATAATCACCTGACATTTGGGACTGCCTGTAACTGAGAACCAGTTTCAGCTCCGAGGTGTGAGGATCAGCTGAGGTGAGAATAACAAAGACCTGGGATTCAAATCTAAAGTCTGGTGATGGTCAGAGCACACAAATGCCCTCGAGGCCTTTCTTATCAAGAAAGCTCACTTGCCTTGAAAGGGCAACAGTGCAGCTGGGCACAGCTCCCCACCTCCGAAAGGAACTTGTGGAAATACTCAGGCTTTTGGGTGTTAACTCAATTAATCTACCAGCCCTAACCTAAGCCGATGACCCCTTGTGCAGGAGCCTGCACAAGCCAAACCAAACCCAAGCGCATTCCTCGGCAGGGAGAAGGTCAAGGGAGAGAGGCCCACAAAGGCTGGCTGCTGTTTCTCATCTGTGGAAACACTGAGATAAGCAGGGCCATTTTGAATGGCACGTCATTCTCGAATGCAGGCTTGAAAATCCTAGCATTCCAGGTGAAAAATGAGCAGGGCTAACACCTGGTTTCATGAAAAGATCCCACGTCAGAATATGGCTGGCGGTGGAGTCCCTCACACGTGCTTCTGCCGAGCCAACAACAGCCCCTCCGAGCGGAGGCAGCAGAGTGGTCCAGGCTGCCAGCCCTGGAGCTGCACGGGCACGTGGGTTTGAACCCCAGCTCCCTCCGGTGTTGGCCGGATAACCTTGAGCAAGTCACCTGTCCTCACCAAGCCTCCTGACCACCAAGTGGGGACAACAGCAGTACAACATTAAATAATCTAGAAGTACTTAGAATCCAGCCTGACACACAGTAAGCCCTTAACGAATGCTGGTTATTAACAGGAACGGTGTTGTTGAAAAGTCCTGCCATAATAATATCTTGTACCTTTTGGAGGTCAAGTGTAAAGTTTATTTACAGATATTCATTGAGCTTTTACCGTGGATAGGGGCCTATGCTAGATATTGCTTCCTTGTGCAGAAAAAAAAGTTAATTTCCAATTATTCTAGAGGCGAAGCAATGAAGAAGCCAGCGTGTGCTCTAACGCCTTCTTAGATTCAATGTGCCGAAGAGTCCCATTGTAGGAATAAAACAGCCCCGTGCATCATGTCAGCTGGCCCTCACGGCTGATTAGAGGCGGTAATCCTGCCCATACTGTATGGGTGGGAAACTGCGGCACAAGCCTTGAGCAACCCGCCCTCCGGTGGAGCTGGGAGAGCGGCATCGTCCCACCCCACACACACTGAGTGCCTTCTGCCTGTGGGACTAAGAAGCAGGAACCCCGGGGAATCACAACAGCCCAGCGCAAGCCTCACACACGGCAAACACTTTCCCGTTGAGAAGCATCAGTAGGGCGGCGGCCGGCTGAGGAGACAGGGCAGGGGTGCACTCACCATCGGCTTCTGGTGGGAAGGGCCGGGGATGGACACCCCACTGCTCGTGTTCACGGCCTTCTTGGTCACCTGCACATACACCTTCCCGTGGTCTTTGGAGACGAGGCAGTGGTAGAGATCGTCGTACTTGACTTCCAGGAAAATGGCCTCCCGGTCTAGGTAGTCTCCGCTTTTCAGAAAGTAGACAGCCTTGGAGGAGATGAGCACACAGTAGCTGTCGATGTTCTCCACGGCTATGAAGCTGCAGAGAAAGAGGCGGAGTGAGAAGGGCACGCAGAGCTTCGCCAGCTGCTCCTCCAGGCTGAGGCTGTAGGAGGGGGGCCCGAGGCTCCGACCTGCAAGCCAGGCTCCCTCCCTCACTACACCTTGGGCAGGTGGCTCACCCACTCTGAGCCTCCGTCTCCTTGTGTGTAAATCAGGAATAAAAAAAGCGACACTGGCCTCTCAGGGCTGCTGTGAGGCCAATGTGTAAAGCACAGAGCCCTTACACAGGGGGGCTCGATAATATGACCAAGTGTATCAACAGGAGAAACAATTTTATGGCCTTTTTATAGCCTAAGGCTTAGAGAAAACTGTAGCAGTGCTTGGTTGGGCAGAAGAGAAGAAGGAAATACAATGCTTTGAAATGCTGACGGAAGCAGCAGCTGAGAAGGGGAAGCCGGGAAGACGGGGTGGGGGAGGGGCAGCCACAGGGCTGGAAGTCGTGGGCAGGGGTGGTGACGGACGCGGGGAAAGCAGAAGCGGATGGGTCATCAACCTAGGCGCTGCAAGAGGATGGCACGCCCTCTCCAGGTGCACACCTATGTCCACTTCCTTTCTGTCACAGTTCTAGTAAGAGGTCACCGGGCCTCAGCTCAGCACCTCCAGGGACAGGGGACTCACTGGTGAGACCACCACCGTGTTCTCAGAATTCAACTGTTAGAGACCACCACCGCGTTCCCAGAACTCAACTGTTAGAGAGTGCTTTTTTAAGCTGTAATCTTGATTTCCATAAACTCTCAGTCATCACTTCTAGGGGCTTCAGGGCCACTCAGAAAAAAATCTCTTCGGGCTCTCCTGGTGGCGCAGTGGTTGAGAGTCCGCCTGCCGATGCAGGGGACACGGGTTCGTGCCCCGGTCCGGGAAGATCCCACGTGCCGCGGAGCGGCTGGGCCCGTGAGCCGTGGCCGCTGAGCCTGCGCGTCCGGAGCCTGTGCTCTGCAACGGGAGGGGCCACAACAGCGAGAGGCCCGCGTACAGGAAAAAAAAAAAAATCTCTTCTTCCCTGGAGCCCCAGATTTAAAGTGGAAATTTATGCACGTCAAAGCTCTCAGATCGGCTACTGAATGAAGAGCAGTGACCCTTGGAAACCGCCGTGACAGCTCTCCCAGGCCTGGCTGCCTCCGTCGCATCTTGTGACAGCCTTCCACAATGGGGCGGCCACATCGGGGGACAGCGCAGGGGAGCGGGTGACGGCAAGAATACTAAGAGCTGACGACAGGCTGGCTGTCAAGCCCAGGCCCCCTGGGACTTGATGTCCTGAGAGGAATTGCCACACCGCAGTTGCCTGGAGCCGCGGCTCCCCTGGAACGGCTCAGGGACCGGGTCCCAGGATGGCTTTGTTCCACGGTCAGCAGTCGCCAAACTCTGCTGGGATGGAGCAGGCCTGCCTGCTGCTGGACAGGCCGGTCCTCTCTCAGTCCCAAGCTGGCGCCAGGTCCCTGCTCACCTCTGGGCTTAGAGAGCCCCCATTCTGAACACGCCTTGTCTCTCAGCCCAAGGATTCACGAGTTCTCTCTGAAGCTTCCCGAGAAACACGCCCACCCTGCGCCCACTTCTGAAGGCTTCCTCGCTTACTGTCAAGAGCACTGCCAAGCAACTACTTGTTCTCGTTCTGTTTCCCAGACAGGTATTTGACTCTCTGACTAAGCTGATGTAAGAGTGGGGGTCCACACCCTATGCCTCCCGTGTCTCCCTGGGCACCCACCACTGAGTCGGCCACCCCCTCAGTACTCAGTGAAAATATGCCTGGTTCCAGCTGCCATTTTAATTACAGCCTCACATGACAAAAATTGGGGTTTATTGTTCTATTCTAACTGGTTGGCAATGCCAAGAATGTAGACCTGTAAAGTCTCAATGCCAAAATTAGAAATACCCAGCAGTGTTTGGTGTTCAGGCCACTTGGCACGGAATTTCCCATGTCCCAGGCTCTGACAGTATCCAGGGGGCAGCAGTATCATTTAAAGAAACCAACTGACATCTAAAATAGCTGGACCAGGGGAAGAAAAGGTGACAGAAAGAGACAGAGAGACAGAGAGAGATGAAAAAAGCTTCCTGACAAAGAGAGGAAGGATCACAGGACCAGCTAGAACTTGCTGGGAAACTAGCTTAAAAACTGAAAATGGCCTAGGACTTCTGAGCACAGGTGGGCCGGGCACATGGTGACCGAGGCTGTAATGGGCTCTCAAAGGAGATCCCCGAAGTTGGCCACCGCAATTAGGGTCAGAGCAGCACATGCATTAAAAATCCAATAGGGATTGTTACCTTTCCTCTGGTCCAGCACAAGATGGGGTACTTCTATTCCATCACCCGTGCCTCCACTCTCACTCTCACCCTGTTTAGTACCCGCTGTCTGACATTTATGCACAGCCTCTAAAAGGGCCAAGGCCTTTCCATCTAGGCAGCTGCTCTTAACACCCGGGGGCCGACTGGCTGACGCTGTTAGTGCCCTTTCCAAACTGGACTTCTTTAAAACAGACTCCCTTCCAAGAGGCCACAGACAGTGCAAAGTCCTCCATCAGGCCAGAACAACTTCTGTTCTGGGTGGAAGGAAGGAGGAAGGGTGGCTCTGAGCTGGGATGCTCTAGTGAAAGCTGCTCCACACAGTGGTGGAAGTGCAGGCCGAGTGGGCAGGGAGACCCACCAGGCTGGGCCAGCTGCTGTCTCTGCGGCTCAGTTTCTTCATCTGATAGAGATCATACTACCTGCCGTCACAAAGTCAGTAAATCCACGGGCAAAAATTTCATGGCCGGGCCTCCCTGGTGGCGCAGTGGTTAAGAATCCGCCCGCCAATGCAGGGGCCACGGATTCGAGCCCTGGTCCGGGAAGGTCCCACATGCCGCGGAGCAACTAAGCCCGTGCGCCACAACTACTGAGCCTGCGCTCTAGAGCCCGTAAGCCACAACTACTGAAGCCCACGTGCCACAACTACTGAAGCCCGTGCCTCACAACTACTGAGCCTGCGCTCTAGAGCCCACGAGCCACAACTACTGAAGCCCACGTGCCACAACTACTGAAGCCCGTGCGCCACAACTACTGAGCCTGCGCTCTAGAGCCCGTGAGCCACAACCACTGAAGCCCACGTGCCACCAACTACCGAAGCCCGTGCGCCACAACTACTGAGCCTGCGCTCTAGAGCCCGCGAGCCACAACTACTGTAGCCCACGTGCCACAACTACTGAAGCCCTCGCGCCTAGAGCCCAAGCTCCGCAACGAGAGAGCCCACCACGGTGAGAGGCCCGTGCACCGCAATGAAGAGTAGCCCCCGCTCACCGCAACTAGAGAAAGCCCACGCACAGCAACGAAGACCCAACACAGCCAACAACAAATAAATAAGTAAATAATAAATAAATAAATAAATAAAAGGAGTTCACGTCCATTACAGAAATGTGAGGGGAGAGGAGCAGTTTGTAAATGTGCACAGATCTCTATTCTGTGAGCCCAGGGGCCCTATTCGTACCCTGAAGCTAATACAGACTGAATTTTTGGACATTTACATGAAATGTTCTAGTCTTTTCAAATCAAAAGCAGCCAAGGGTCTAAGTGAAAGGAGGGGAAAGGGAGACAGCGGGGCCTCAGCTGGAGTGCCAGGGTCCCAGACCACAGTCTCAGCAAAAACCCAGACACTGACTTAGCCAACAGCGTCTCTCTCTCCATTTTCCCCCTGATGCTCCCCTGGAACTCCCACAACCAGTGACCAAGGCTTTGGGTTTCATCATTACAGCATACATTTTTTAAAACACAAAATCTGGACACCACAACAAAGAATAATTAAAACTGAGCTCCAGATTATGGGTCCCCTCCTGTAATGGAGACCAACCCCAAACTTGTCACTGAGAGAGAGGAACCAAAACCCAGGGGGACAAGTGAAGCCGAACCAATGAGTGCACTCAGCGCTTCTCTGCACATCTGCCCCCGCCTCTGTCCCTTTGTCATCAAAGCCTGGTGTCCCCCTCCCTGCCTGGCCGTCCCCCACAAAGGCCTGTGCTCCACAGCCTTTCATTTGCGTCACTTGAGAGGCTCAGGGTTTCGTCCAGAGTGGCAGCGGCTATGGCCTCACACGAACTGAATCTAGACACGGGGCTCTCCACTCTTCATCCCCCGTACCCTCCTCGCTTCACGCAGGGCTGCTCTTGGCTCATGAATGAGTGACCATTGCAAACCCTCGTGGGATGACATGGGGAGGAAAGCCATGTGGTCTCAGGTCGATCCTGAGTGTGTCCTCCTACCCTCTGACCTATTATTAGTTCGGAGGAAGAGTGAAAAAAATGTGGCCAGAGACACACGGCCTCTGGATAAGCTGTACCCTTCAAATATGAAGAACCAGAGAAGCTGCCCAGTGCTCTGTAGACACCGCGAATGATTCTGTAAAAAGAAACAGGCGGGGACTCCCCTTGGTGGCGCAGTGGCTGACAATCCGCCTGCCAATGCAAGGGACACAGGTTCGAGCCCTGGTCCGGGAAGGTCCCACCTGTCGCGGAGCAACTAAGCCTGTGAGCCACAACTGGTGAGCCTGTGCTCTGGACCGGGGGAGCCACAAAACAAAAAACAAGAAACAGGGTTTTTAGACATTGGTTAAAAGTTTCACTTATAACTCTCCTTTAAGGAGAAGAAAGAGGACATTCTGACCTTGGGATCAACTTCAGAAAGTTTCTTCTGAGGGAAAGGAAAGCTGTGGCACGTGGCTTACACCATGCTCCAAGATGACAGGTGCTAACAGTGGGTGAACCCGGCAAGGTTCAGTGCCGTAGAAGCAGCACCCACTGCGGCAATATCTCAGACATGATACCACAGGGCATTCTCATCAACACCAGGGACATGACCAACAACAGCTCCAACCCTCTCGCTCTGTGGCAGGGAGGAATGTTGTCTCCAAGCCCCATGGCTGATGTGCCATTGGAACCAGCCAATCTTAGATGCCAACTGGCTCTGTCACCAGCCACATGGCTTGGCTCAGAGCTTCTTGCCGTCACGTGTAGAGCG